TTGTCCTTTATTCCATAGTACCTTAATTTGTTTAATAATATTTCATGGCTAACACAATCAAAAGCCTTTTCTAAGTCACAAAAAATCCCACTGACTAGCATTTTTTTATTTAATGAGTCTAATATTCTTGAGATCAGACAATATATTACATTTTCAGTCCCTTTATTTTCTCTAAAACCAAATTGATATTTACTTAGTATAATATTTTCCTAAAAATGTTTTATCAATCTACTATACATTACCTTCTCAAAAATTTTATTGATGGATGTTAATATGGAGATAGGTCTATAATTTCATACCAAGTTCTTATCGCCTTTTTTGTAAATAGGTATAATAGTAGCATATTTTAGTCTATCAGGGTAAATACCCTCAAACAAAACTCTGTTACATAAGAAGCTAATGGGTTCACTAATAAAGGTTTTACAGATTTTAAGTATATCATTCGATATTTCATCATACCCATGTGATTGGCTGGGTTTAAGGGACAATATAATCTTTTCAATTTCTCTACTTGTAGTTTTAGTTATTTTAATGCTCGGAAAAGGACTCTCAAATGCATTAGTCAAGTATGTCATACAGCTCACAGGTTCGGATTTGTCATTTGGACCATTTTCTTTTATGTGTTGATGAATGTTATAAGCTACTTCAGTAAAATATTTATTGAATGTATTAACAATATCAATTAAGTTAAAAGTCTCTTTGCCTTCAATATTAAGTGTATAAATATTTTCACTATTTGCTTTCTTTAGCAATTCATTATTTATTATTCTCCAAGTCATTTTAACTTTATTCTTTGAGTTATTAATCTGCTTATCATATGACATCTTCTTGGCTTGATTTATCACTCTTGTTAATATTTTAGAATAATACTTATAATAATTATTTAAAATTGGGGTATCACCTTTCTTTACTTCATCATACAATGCCCTCTTGTTTTTACAGGATATTTTTATACCAGTTGTTATACTGAAGCTGTGGAAAGAAGTCCACATTTCTGGGGCAATTACATTGTTCCCTCCAGAATACTTCCTTACACACCTCTCCAGTCATTTAGTCATTCTGTTCACATGGAAGTTAGCAGTGATAATGTATGCTAGGGACAAATGTTTTGGTTAGCTGGGGTAGGACTGAGGGGGCTGGAAGGGAATACAGCAGTAGACAGAAAATATGGTGTTATATCAATATGGCATACCAGGTATTTCCACCATTTTTGATTTGCTACAATTAAATACACCATCACAGTAATTCATGGCACAGTCTTTATAAGCAGCTGATAGCCATTCAAACTACAAACAAATTCCCTGCTTCTATGAGAACCAGAAGGTCCATTACTGTGGGTACAAAATCCTGCCATTGGACACTAGTTTAAGCCAGTCCAGACCAGTTCACATGTTCACAACCTATTTCTGTATAATATATTTTAATACTATCCTCCCATCTATGTCTAGATTTTTCAAGTGGCCTCCTCCCCTGGAATTTAATGATTAAAATGTAATATAAATATTTTTATTTCCATTATGCATCTTGCCCATATCCTCCTTCATTTAACCATTTTTGGATATCTCCTAACATGTTTGGCATTACATATTTTCCTCTGTGTTCAAGCAGCAATATGTCATTGGTACAGTCATTCTCCTTGTTTCTGTGGCCAGAAATGGACCAAATGCAATCATTTCTGTGCCTTGACGAACCATATACTGTTATCTACTAATTATTTTTTGTAATATTTTGAAAAATATGCAATATTATATACACACAAAAGTTAACTGGTAGCAAAATGGCTCAAACCTCTTGGCTAGGGAGAAGGCTGTAATAGTCTTATTATTAGAAAGGGCAGGGCTTGAGGTGGGGCAGGATGCGGTGGGATGGCATCCCGGTTCTTTTCTAAATGGCTTAAAAGCATCCCGTTACTTCTTTGGTAGTAAATGCAATGTACAATACCCAGGCCTTGAGGTGGGGCGGGATGCGGCAGGATGGCATCCCGGTTCTATTTTCATTCCACCTCAAGCACTGAGAAAGGGTTAATAATTTGAATGTCAGTGACAGTTTAACATAAAGCTCTTCATCATCTACTTGTCTCCCTTCATTCATGTAATTTTTCTTAGGTGCTGTTAGTAGAGGTGAGGTGTATGCAGCATACTGTAAAAAAACTGAGCCTGACCTGGAGTGTGATATTCAATATTCAAACATTATTAATAGCACAGCCATTTATCATGTTATTGTAACAGTGCAGACAAGAGTAAAAGTAAAAAGTAAAGCTATTCCTGTAACAGGCCGTAGAGGCCCATAGGGTTGTAAGATGTTGAGGTTCCCACATTTCCTAGACAATCAGTTCATAGATGGCAGTAAGGTTGTTAGCTCTATGCGCCGGCCGCCCTTTAGCCCCAAGAATATTCCTGGTACTCATTTCTGTTAAGAGGCTGAATCAACCCCAGGGCCATAGTGCAGCTGG